CGCAGAAGAACATGCATTTTGCCATTTTCTGCAAGAAAAGGCTTGCACATCAATGCGTATTAATACGGTATTGATCTCTTGATATGATGTGAAGGTCATCATTTAGGCTGTGTTTACATGAGAAATTTCAACCCGGGTCGAGTTCAGCCCGGGTTGAAAGTCTGTACGATAGACAAAAGAGGTGAGCGTTTACATGAAGACAGTTGACCCGGGTCAAATACTGATATGCCGCCAAAAGTCCACTTCTACACGAATCTACAGTTCCGTATAGTCACGTGAATCTGTTCGCGCGAAATTTGCATGTGCAGTGCCGTTCAAACCTGGCGCGAGATACGCACGGAAGTACGTTTGTACGATTTTCTTGACCCGGGTTGATTTCAACCCTCCCCTTGGGGGGAGGGTTGAAATCAACCCGGGGCGAAATTTCAACCCGGGTCAAGCGCAATGCGTCATGTAAACGCGCCATTCATTTTGTGCACATGGCGGGTTGAAATCTGACCCGGGTCGAACTCAACCCGGGTTGAAACGCTTCATGTAAACACAGCCTTAGTTTAAATTTACATATTGAGATAGGGCATTCCATTGATTGGTGACAGAAAAAACAAAAGAAATTATAGCAATAAAAACTGCTTTATGGCAGTTTTATAAAAAAAGTTATTGTGTTCTAGTCCATGGACCCCGTCTAAAAAGTAAGAAATTAACGAAATGTGATAGCCGAAAATTAAAATTTCACACAAAACCTCACAATAATCACACACAGGTGTACATATACAATGTATCATTTTATCAGTCATTACGTATGAGATTAAAAAAAAAAAAAAAAACAATAATCACACACAGAATGAAAAGCTACATGTAGAAGACCTTTTCCCCCGTGATCCTCTTTCCTATGCATGCATGACATGCATGTTGCCAATTGTTTGTGCAGTACAAGTTTAGGGTTGAAAGCAGCATTTCAAGTGCTGTGATTGTTGTGAGGTTTTGTGTGAAATTTTAATTTTCGGCTATCACATTTCGTTAATTTCTTACTTTTTAGACGGGGTCCATGGACTAGAACACAATAACTTTTTTTATAAAACTGCCATAAAGCAGTTTTTATTGCTATAATATACTACGGTATTGAATTTTATATGATACACGTACATAGGGGCTCCCGTAAGAAGACCATAGGTCTGTGGGAAACACCCTAGTAAAATAAAATAATAATAATAATAGCATGTAGAGGCGCTACATGTAGGCCATCATTTATTTGGGCATTCCATTGGTGACACAATTATATCCTTTAGCCAAAAAAACAAAAGAAATTATAGCAATAAAAACTGCTTTATGGCAGTTTTCTAAAAAAAGTTATTGTGTTCTAGTCCATGGACCCCGTCTAAAAAGTAAGAAATTAACGAAATGTGATAGCCGAAAATTAAAATTTCACACAAAACCTCACAATAATCACACACAGAATGCGAGACGACCTTTTCCCCTCGTGGTCCTCTTTCATATGCATGTACTTGTACAAGTACAAGTGTCGGAATAAACAAGTGTTGAAAGTGTCGTGATTATTGTGAGGTTTTGTGTGAAATTTTAATTTTCGGCTATCACATTTCGTTAATTTCTTACTTTTTAGATGGGGTCCATGGACTAGAACACAATAACTTTTTTTAGAAAACTGCCATAAAGCAGTTTTTATTGCTATAATCTGTAGTGTGAATGTCCTTCACGGTTTATCGGCATTCACGGTTTGACGGGGTTCACGGTAGTCTGAACGCGCCCTTATAGTGGCTGCAAATGACCGATATCCGTCACTTGCAGCTCTGCATCAGAGACCTGTAGCTGGCCTGAAGAGTTGTAAAATTACTCCTTCGTAGCCCGGGGGAGTCAGAGCGAGGGCGATTCACGGCTTGGTCAAAAAACTGTCGGCCTGGAACGTAAACCAGTCGGGGAGATGTCCTATCTAGGACATCGCACTCTGAATGAGTCTGATTGGTTACCTGTCCCAGAGTTGTCATGGAAGCGTCGGTCGCGCACACGCGATGAAAAGAAGTGTTGCGTGAGCATTTCTGAATGTATGTGGAGGATGCACGATCGTAATGGCGATGGATTTCTTTCCGAATTGGTCAAGTTTGAGGGAATAGGCGGAGAATATCAGACATCGGCGGGGATTGAGGTAGTGTATATTCGATTCGCCATCGAATACCCGACCGAATGGCCGTTTTCGTTTGGGGATTTCATGTGGGGTTTCTCGTAGCCACGCGGCGCTTCTTTGGAAACGATTGGTTCTAATTATTTTGAATGTTTTGCCTATGGAATGTTTCTTCACGCCCGTGCGTTCATTTCGCCCCAAACCTGGCCATGCAGAGGAGGAAGACGAGGTAATCATGCAGTTTAGGGTCCCAAATTATTTCGCACTTTCCCAGTGTTCAGTGTACTGTCACACGCGTTTTCAGTGTACTTTCACATCATGAACTATTATTTTCATGAAAACCGAGGACAGATCAGACTGGGTACTGCTGCAGGTGAACACTGCGGAGCAGGGAGCCGAACGTGTTGTCTTCCGCGCGAACTCTCTGTCTCCACACGAACTCGCAGAGGTACGTCGGGAACAACTCTCGCGAGGTGCCGAAGTTGCGCTTCAGCTGGCGCTTGGCCCGCATCCACATGTTTTCCACGTTGTTGGTGTGGATCGTTCGGTCGTCCGGATCAACAAAGTTGTCGTTGTGGACGACGACATCGTGCTGGTATACGCCACCGTCGATGTTCCTGATCTGCGCGTATGCGGCCCAGCCGTCAGAGATGATGCGTGAACCAGGCAGAATCCACAGGAAACAAAACTTTGACAAAGGAAACAAAACTTTCACACGAGAAAAGAAGAAGCATAGTGAAAGTACACTGAAAACGCGTGTGACAGTACACTGAACACTGGGAAAGTGCGAAATAATTTGGGACCCTAAACTGCATGATTACCGAAGAGGAGGCAGCAAGCGCTAGGCCCGTAAATTACTGCTTGGAAGATATTATTTGGCCAAAGCTTGCTGTTGGCGTTTTTGATTTCTTGGATACGACAGCTCTTGGCTAAAACTGGACCTTGGACGGTCTTTCTTGGATATCAACCCAGGACGTGGTGGTCATGGACGTATCGCCATCGCTTTCAGCCAGATCCTTCTGCTGCCTGAAACCAATGGCGAAAGTAAAAACTTTATCGCAGCAGCAGCTACTGCTCTGGTGAAAGTGCGAACACAAATAATTGCTTCGCCAATCCTCTTGTGCACTTGCAATTTTCAATGCGAGCAAACGATTCGCTTGCCAGTTCCTTTGTCCAGGCGTACTCCACAACGAGGAAAATAAAATTCGTGAAGGCAAGAGGCAAGATACGAATCTCGACTCGCTTGAGGCAAGCCGCCAGGAGAACGACAACTTTTGAGACGAAAGGCCTTCGTTGCGTTTGTTTTGAGTGCGACATGTTCATCTTCCTCGGACGCGACACAAAGTTTTGAGTCACGTGTCACGATTACTATGGGAACAGCATAGTATGTATCAGGGAGTAGTACAATACCGGTATTGTACTACTCCTTGTATGTATGCTGGGGCATGCTGGGTTCCGTGATGTCCTATCTTAGGCCAAGTAAAAAAAAACCCCGGTTTATCGTCCCCGCCCGCCCCATTTTTCGAGGCCGCCCGGAATTTATTTTTATTTTTTAAATCTAGAATTTTGCCAAAAAGCTTGATTTTTTACGTCGGCTAAGGCTTGAAAACACAGCTTCGTCAACATGTTCCCTTTATGACTGACTATTGGTTACTGTCCTGACTGGTTCTTTCCCTTCTGCAGCTTTCTATCATTTATCTGGTGGTCTGTGTGAACCAAACAGTATTGGGGTTTGTGTCTTATGAGTGGAGTGACAATCTGTCGATCCAAAGATTTTGCATGTAATTGTTTATGTACATATAACTAGTTAACTGTCACAGTATAGCATTGTGTATTCCATACACTACCACTACTGTATTCTGTTGCAGATTGTTGCACATGATGTGTCATTGTTTACCAAGAACAGGGGCTGTTAAGTGTGACGTCACGGCCCCTTCGATACGCATAGCAACGAAGAGCACTGGGGACAAACAAAAGTCGCGTCCTCTGGATGGAACCAGATGTCAAGGGTAACAGCATCTAAATGACTGGAGAGAAAGCTTTTCTTTGCTTTTTCTTCAAGCGATTGTTGTCGCTCTTTACTCCTTGTTATTTCCTCTACAAATCTCCTGTAGTCGTCGAGGGCCTTCATAATGGCTGTGTAATTGGCTGCCCACTGTAAAACTCCGTGTTTGAGAGTGCTTTGAAGATTCTTCGCGTCCTGATGGATCAAAGTACGAGCGCTCCCTGTGGATTCGATTATATGTAGGTGAGTTGTTCAAGAAATCAGTGTCTTCTTTCTGTTTCTGCCCTCACGCTGGCACAATATCAGCCTCTATATCCATGACAGCTCACGCCTCCCGTAAACTGCATGGCTTAGATATATTCTCGCCCGTGATTGAAGACCCATGGAAGAAGTTATTATGTTCAGAATGATGTCCTGAGAATATAAAATAAAATAATTCTAGGGAATTGTTACTGGGTACAGTCAGACCTCGCATAACCGTACACATCCGTTTTCGACAAAAATATCCGGTTAGGCGAGGGAACCGGATAATCGAACACACATACTGTATGTATGCATGGCATATGCTGTAAATCGGTGACCAACGATTTTCTTCCGGATGGCGAGGGATCCGGATAAATGAGGACCGGATAAGCGAGATCTGACTGTACTAGTATTTTGGAAGGATGGAGAGAGAGAGAGAGAGAGAGAGAGAGAGAGAGAGAGGGCACTGTTTGAAGTGTTTGTCTCACTGTAATTACTCCAGATTATTGAATGGTGTATGATCTACTCGATATTTTCCACAATGGGTTTTCCTGATTTGCGGGATCTCTTCTTTTGCTGTTTGCGTGTTTACAGGAAGTGACTGTCTGGTGTGTATCCGCACCAGATCCTGGGGAAATGAAGTCAGATGCAGAGGCAGGGTCGTCCAGTGATGCAACACTGCCGTTCTATGTGCAACGTCACCGCTAATTCCCCCGGCGAAAACACAAAAAGACAAACACGTGAAGAGACTACAGTATTGACCGTTCTGGTAATGAATCGTGACTGCTCGGACAGTCGATAATCGAAACACAGAGCACCAGCATTATGTTTACATATTGGGAACCACACGCCAGCTCAATTCTCAAGCCCAAAAATTGATGAATACAAAACACAGAGCGACGCAACAAGAGATCATCCGGCAACCAAACCAACCTGGGTCTAATGCACTGAATAGTCCTGAAATACGCAGGCCACACAAAGCAGTGCAAGCACATACTGTTACAAGGTACATGTATTGCAGAACAAAGTGTAACCAAAGATACACAGGGTTATAGCTGCACACTCGTGCATGTGCTCGCTCAGCCCAAGAACACGCATGATGATAGAAATAATCCGGGGGAAACACGCTAGTACCGAAGTAAGCATCAAGACGTAAATAGTATAGCTCTGAAAAATTAAAAATTACATTGACATGTACATTGATGTGCCGAGTAGTATCATCCTTGATTACCCATCCAACCAAGACGTTATCAGGTCCCAGACGCCGAGATCACATGCCGAATGTGAAGTGCATCTAGCCTTGAACCTGTTGCACAAGGCACACACATAAAAATGACATCCACTCCGATTATTTCCAGAAGCCAATCATAACAGAACACAGAAATGAAACCACGGGCTCAACAAAGTAAACGCAAAGGAAATTAGTTAAAATAATTAGTGGTGTGCACGGGTAGTCGGGTACCCGTGCTACCCGTGAGGACCTCGGGTAGACGGGTACCGAATCGTACCCGAAAACCCGAAGTCGCAGATGACATCATGTAGAAAGAGTAGAGAGAGGTCTACAGTGCACGTGTACAAATAATTCACGCATGTCTACCCAGTGTGTAAGGGGAGGGGCCGGTGTGCATTGTGGTCTTACCATGGAAACATTACCCGATCGGGTACCCGTGCTACCCGACTCAGCCCTAAAAATAATCCATGAAGTGCTATTTTAATTCCAGCGCTGAATGCAGTTTGGCGTCATGGCCCGATACCCGCTGAGCATAGACACAAACTCCATTTGACAGGGGCAAGACATACTATTTTGGAATAAGAAAGTACAGCATTCCAATGACATGACGGACACCTCGTGCAAATGCGTGGTCTGTTCATCCGGCCAACTCGGCCACGCATGAGAGTGTGTGCATGTACGCGCGCACGTGCACACACACCATGTATTCGGTGCGTATGGCGTACCTGTTGCGGAGATATGAAGATGGAATCATTATCATGATGTTACATGTACATGTACAGTGTATGTTTGAGTGTAAAATAAATTTTATTTTATTACACATTTCTTCGACACAACTTACTCCACATCTTCGCATTTCTCATAATCCATCCACCTACACTCCGTCTCAGTTGAGGAAAACTCTCCCAGGTATACACTAGTCATCACAGCCATGTGATGGCATTGCCATTGGGATGGGTCCCAAGCACGATTGCACTCTCCAGTTACAATATAATTTATTTGTCCAGATTATCTGTGAAGACAAAATGCAATGCATAGCGGCAATCGATGGATGAAGAGAGAGTTTGTAAATACACATATCTTTCCACTTGTCCAGGAGCTTACCTTTTGGAGTTCACATCGTTTACACGATCTCTTATGCTGTCTTGCACCTTGGCTTTGTTGACCATGGATACGCCATCCTAGAAGACATTCTACAGGAGCTACTAATGCAGAGCATTTTTCACACTCGATCTCGGCGATCTACCTCGTCACGCCAATAAAATCCTCCGTGACACTGGCTACAGTCACAAGAGACGTCTCAGTAAGGTAATGAGCACGACAACACCGTCGAGATCAAGGACAAAGAGAAAACAAAACACTCACTGAAAACAGCAAAGAAGAAACGAAGAAATGTACACGATTCCTATATGTTGCCACTGACAACTGGTTCGATGGAGACGACGCTACTTTTGTTTGTCCCCAGTGGGATCGTTGCTATGCGTATCGAAGGAACTGTGACGTCATCACTTAACAGCCCCATATATTATACCAAGAGTAGATAAGGCCAAGTAAAAAAAAAAGCTAGATGATCGTCCCCGTCCGCCCCAGTTTTTGTCAGCGCCCCAAGAAATATTTTATTTTTTAAATCGTGAGTTTTACTATATGGACCACATACTACTAGTATATCACAACGTCAGTATCGATCTGCTGAAGAAAGAAAAAGAAAAAAAGAAAAAAAAAGAAAAAAAGAGAAAAAAAACCTTGATGTTGTTGTGTACACCAGGGAGTCGTCAAATACGGTATTTGACGACTCCCTGGTGTACACTGTGTGCATGAGAGGGTAAAAAGTAAAAAAATAAAAATAAAATCCTCCCGCCCTCCCCGATTTTTCCAAAAAAAAGGACGATGTAGAAGAGAAAAGGACATATGGATACGAGTTAAGAGTAACTCTCCATCACTGTAACATGATACTTTATACAGTCAGAAAGTGCGATCATCTAGTAATTTTTTTTACTCGGCCTAAACATTTTTATCTACTCTTGATTATACTAGTCTGTAGCATGCATCAAAAAATAAAAAATAAAAATAAAATCCGCCCTCCCCGATTTTTGTGAAAAAAAGGACGATAAACTGGGATTTTATTTTACTTGGCCTTAAAGGGGAACTCCACGAAAAAATGAAACTTTGATAGCCTGTAGAGTTTCGGGCGCTGAGTCGAATGGTCTTGGTCCGAAGTCTCTACGACGAAGCGTTCTTGAGATATTTCACTTTGAAATTGCAAAAACGGGGGCCGCGCCCTGACGTCATGCGGCCATTTGGTTACATCATCACGGGCTGCCTACGTCATTGTGGCAAAGTCGTTTCTCTTCGCCAGTCTACAACAGTACAAGCACTAATTTAGAAAAGCGATCCTGTCAGCTTTTCTATTATTGTGTTCACATGGCAGAAAAAACGACACCGCTATGCTACGTAAGTTTCTACGTAAGGTGCTCGGTACTTCACTTAGGCTACGTAAGTTTCTACGTAAGGTGCTCGGTATTAGATCTACCAACGGGTGGTAGCCGCGTGCTGTGCACGTGCACGGCAGACATTGTGTTGCATGCAGTGCATGCAGTCCGTTTTCGGATGTGCATGCGCGAGGAACTTCCTTCTTTGGAACTGCTTCTTGCATGAGCTGTTTCGGATATTTCGTGTCCTGGCTTATTTCGCTTCGGCTCTGCTGAGACCTCTTTTCACGGAATATTACTCAATGACAGGTGAGTTGACCAGTTCCCTTTGATTCATTTGCTTGTGTTGACTCTTTCATTTACGAAAAGTGTGCTGATTTTAGGTGGAATACAATAAATAATGGAAAAGCTGACAGGATATCTTTTCTAAATTTAGCTTTTCTGCTGTCGAGGCCTCCTTTTACGGAATACTCAATGACAGGTGATCTCTGAGTTGACCAGTTTCCTTCGATTCATTTGCTTATGCTCACCCTTTCATTTACGGAAACGCGTGCTGATTTTATTCGGATTTAGATCCATTCGTATCTCTTTGCCCTTGCCAACAGTGTGCGAAGAACGCGAGTTCACCTTCTTGACGGTAAGGCTCACATTGTATGTTGCTGCTGAGGCTTAGATAAAGATATTATTATTATTATTATTATGTGTTGTCGAAATACTCAAGTTCATTGTACATTGGTACGTTACAAGTAAGGCACTGGCCATGATTGCTTCCGGCATTCCGTGCCCCGATCATAGGGTAGAATCTGAATTTTGCAGTGGCATAGCATCGTTGGCAGTTCCCAATCTGTAGGGGAAGGTTCAAGGACGCATTGGCCGAGTACTAGTATGCAAAATAAATTCGCATATCAGGGAAAATCTCCATTATGGAGAGGTTCATGCATTCAGTGACTTGTTTGCTTCATACGAAACAAGCCAATGGGTGCAGTCTCGTCTCGTGAAAATCTCGTACCATTGGATTTGTTTACTCGAGCCTGGGCTGTTTGATTTGTGAGTAGCGCCGAGATTGCACTGCCCCAAATAAAGTTGCGTGCCGGTAGAGCAAGAATTACGATCTGCAATCTGTTTGTTGTACCTGCAAGAATGTGCTGTACATGTATCGTATTTTCTCTGTTGTTGTTTCAGTTGCCGTCATGTTGCTAAAGAAAGGTTCAGTGACTCATTTGTTTCATAAAAGACGAGTCAATGGTTTGGTCTGGCTTAGAATCTTTCGCTGTAGAAGAAATCTATTCGTGTCTCTATTGGAGAAATAATTGTATTCACTCGTTATAAAATAGGGTTAAGACAAACTCACAGAGCAAATGCCATCGGTCCCTTGATGTTCGTCCTAAAGAGGTTTGACTGGATATCATTCATACTCCCCCAAAGTCGTGTAACATGTTATTATTATGGAGTGCCTTGTTTATCTCTCAGTACCTCCAACCATATATCCTTGCCCCTTATATCCTCAGGATCAGTGTAGTTGTTGGAACGAGGTGTCTGGCTCAGCAATGTATTTGTTTACATTTTAATACATGTTTATTGTTCCTACTTTGCTGTGTTGTTTTAGACAATCGTGGACTTGTAACACTTTGAAGTCATTGAACTGCTTCCAAAAGTTTTATCGACATCAACAGGATTACGATTTCACTACAATATGATGCCGGATGACCTTATCACGACAACCCATGACTACAATTATAAACACAGAATCAACAAAAACATCTGCGGCGCGCACCTGGTTACAATTCTCATGTAAATGTGATTTAGGGTGTGGACATCTGAATTTTCTGAAAGACAAGACAATTTTATGACAGTCATGAAATTCTGCAACATCCACGGAATGACCTGCGTATAAAAAAGGTATCACCGCCACTGCACTACCCATTATTGATTCCCATGCAGAAGAACCTGAATACAGTGTACATGTACGCAAGACTAGTTCCATTTTCTGCAAGAAAAGGCTTGCACATCAATGCGTATAAATACGGTATTGAATTTGATAATGATACACGTACATGTACATAGGGGCTCCCGTAAGAAGACCATAGGTCTGTGCGAAACACCCTAGTAAAATAAAATAATAATAACATGCAGAGGCGCTACATTTTGGCCATCATTAATTTTAGGGCATTCCATTGGTGACACAATTATAGGTTCTGATCGGTGGAATATGCTGCCTTCCACTGTTCGCGCTTATCGCCCATTTGTTCGTTCATGCTTAACCTTTCTAGGGGCTCCGTAAGAAGACCATAGGTCTGTGGGAAACACCCTAGTAAAATAAATAAAATAATAATATCCTTTAGCCAAAAAAACAAAAGAAATTATAGCAATAAAAACTGCTTTATGGCAGTTTTCTAAAAAAACGTTATTGTGTTCTAGTCCATGGACCCCGTCTAAAAAGTAAGAAATTAACGAAATGTGATAGCCGAAAATTAAAATTTCACACAAAACCTCACAATAATCACACACAGGATGCGAGACGACCTTTTCCCCTCGTGGACCGTGGTCCTCTTTCATATGCAAGCATGTTGGCGCAGTACATGTACGTGTACAAGTACAAGTGTCGGAATAAACAAGTGTTGAAAGCCGTACTATTAGATCTTCAACTTCAAGTGTCGTGATTATTGTGAGGTTTTGTGTGAAATTTTAATTTTCGGCTATCACATTTCGTTAATTTCTTACTTTTTAGACGGGGTCCATGGACTAGAACACAATAACGTTTTTTTAGAAAACTGCCATAAAGCAGTTTTTATTGCTATAATTTTAGTTGGTATTTCAAGGGAAGATGGGCGATTCCGAACAATCCTCTGTCCCCAGCAATGAAGGCAGCGATGCTGAGGCCAGTGAGGACGACCAACAGCCCACCGCCGCGTATGGTTGGGGCAGGGAGCCCAGATACTCTGCTGAGGAGCTGCCATCGCGTGTAACAAATGTGGAGGAAGAAGATGCGTCAGCAGCTGCGTCCGACAGAAGACGAGTAGCTTGGCCACCAGAATCTCGATTCGTTTGGGACTCCGACTGGTGCGAGCGTGGACAAAAGTGTATAGCCATGCCCAGCCCGCGGGAATGATTTTGCTGGTAGGATGCTGCCGTCGCTGTCGACAAGACGGCCCAAGGTTTCTTGCGCAGCGGACCTCGCAGATTACGAGATCGTATCCTTGCATTAGGCTGTGCTCATCACTGCTCTTCGAGGTTATCTCGACATGCAGAAGCCGCCAATGCCAGTGACAGAAGAGTCTGACATTAGGTAAGCCTCAATTAGTTTGCCTTGACTTGTCTTGTGAGGATCGCGTATCAGCATGATACACTTATTCTTATTTTTTGGGGGAAATTTATTGTTGTCAGGCGCACTACAGTAGGCGTCGCACCAGAAAGACATTGTACTGGTAGTTATCACAAGTTTCATGCATGACACAAACAAATTTCTCTTTGCTCCGAGTATGTCTTGACTTATCTTGTGAGGATCGATGCGCGTAATGTTTTGTGTGTAACTAATTATTGTTGTCAGGCATAGCACGAACAACGTTGTTCTGTACTATAGACCGTGCTATCACAAGTTTTCATGCATGACTCACAATAATTTTGTCTTTGTCATTTTCCCTTGGATTGGTACAAGATCTACAAAGTATGGTAGGTAGTGTTCTGTTGGTGAAGAGAGCACTGCACACAGTTTATGAGCACCATGGGTGCATTTGATCACACCCGAACCCATTCTTTATCGTTTCAAGCGATAGACTTTGTCAATAAACTCGTTTTCTAGTATACCATGGCATGCAACGTACAAGCGTGGGGTCAAGAAAGCGTACACCAAAATAATGCACAAATTCTGGCAGGAGAGTAAGAAATCTGTACTTTCTGACCAAGACATCTCTGTACTAGTAGGTAATCGAACGCGTCCTAATCAGTATTCATCCCAATGGCATTGGAATTCAATTTGAAATCAGCAATTATGGTAAATTCTACAAGACCCTCCATCTTTGTACCAGTGGACACTAAATTAGTATGGCGCGCACTGAAAGAGCAGGTAGGTACCGGTAGGTGCAATACAGCGCATATGTAGAGTAAATGAGTATTTGACTATAATAATTATTACGGTACAGCAATGTGGTATGTGTACAAGCACTCATCATACACATTCCATATGACATTCTGTGTTTGTGTAGATCTCTACGCTATGCGGCACACAGGCAGTACACACTATGTACACGGCAAATTGGGCAAGCACGTTCGTTGTCGTCTTCCAGCCTGCGTTGTGAATACCATCAGGCAAAGATATCCAAATCCTGCACCACCTCAGCCTTCTCAGGAGGCTTCCACCTGGAATTTGGCAGAGAAACACGCTTCTCCAAGGCAGGAACATGGAGGTTGCCATTTGCAACCGCTACCACCTCACACATGAGCTTGTCAACATACTCATAGCTCTTTCTGTCGTATAATTTTCTATTTGGCCACAGTCTTCTTTATGCTTTGAGAACTGGACTTTATACCTTCCTATCGCGGTCTTTTTGGTTGTGCTGTGGCGACGGTTGACATTGACGTCGTCAAGAGCTGCGAGATGTGCGTGTCCAATCATCTCCAGAAATGAGAAACGAATGCGTTTGAGAATGTAGTTTGGCATGACACTGTGATATACCTGCATGGCAAAAAGAATGTGGAGAAAACACACTTGCTTAGACAATATACTGCTGTATGAGAAAATGGAAACTTCACCGTACAGGACGACTCTTGTTCTCAATTGCATTGTTCGTTTCATTCCCTGTGTTGCCCATAAGAGACGGGAGCAAAAATGTTGCAGCAGATGTTTGTTGTCTTCTGGCGTGGAGTGGCGGCGTCATTAGATGTACACAGGTCATAGTCATTTCACTAAGTATACCACTACTACAGCATTATGTACTATCCTTAGGCTAGCGTGCGTGCGAGTGAGTTTGAGTATGTGGGTGCGTATGTGTGTGTGTTGTTGTGTTTGTGTGTGTGCACGCACACGCACGCGCGCGCATGTGGGTGATGGTGTGAGTGCATGTGTATAATATGTGTAGTTCCCACTGTATTCCTTGCACAATAGGTCTTCACTTACTTTTCTTTCGCATACAACCAGAACCCATTCCTTGTTCGAAATTAGATTTTTTTTGGCCTGGTGATCCCGCAAGCGTGGAACTCGGAGTGTAATATATTTTTGTTTCACTTTACTTGCACTATTCCAAGGCTGTCCAGACTTCTAACAACTGCTCTGAGTGATATGGTATTCATGCAACCATGCCTAGAAGTAGGGTAGCTGTTATAAATAGAGACATATCCACGCAATCAACTTACACTGGTTCAGTTTGGCAGGATTGGTGAGACAGTTCGTCGTGCATGCTGCCTGCACATCGCAAGCAAACAGTTCTGTAACCTTCGTACTTGCTGGGGGTCTGTCTGTTTGCGTCCCAGTTGATGACAGATGTGCACAGTTTGAGTACTGGTATGCGCAAAGTTACTGGGGTAATATCGTTCATCAGCTAGCTGCAGTCGGAGTTGATGGGGTGATGTACTCTTCTGATCCTGATGGGACGTATCTCGCCCTGCTTTCTCAGTTGCAGCTTGTTGAGTTCGCTTTGCTGGAGGCTCACGGCTCGGAGGGCACTGGTACACTGATGAGGGCTTTCCTGGACGGCGTACTCGTCAAAACTCAGCTCTCAAGTCCCTCTGGATCATAAATGCAGCGAGCAAACATAGCTCGTGCTGCGAAAATAGGCTTGAAATTTTCACGACGCATTGCAACATCTCGGCGCTTTGCCAGGTCTCCATCCTTTGGGAATTTGAGAAAACTAACCCCAGGAGGATGATGTGATACTGGCACAATCAACAACACAACAATTTGGCATTGCAGCGGCTCAGGCGACTTGGCAAACTACTTTCTGAAGTGACTTTCGTCCTGAAGAAAGTGAGATTCAAAATCCAAGTATTTTCGCACATTGCCACAATGACGTCACACATACATTGGTATGGGGCGTGGCTAAAATTGAAATATCTCAAGAACGCTTTCTCGTAGAGACTTCGGACCAAGACCATTCGACTCAGCGCCCGAAACTCTACAGGCTATCAAATTTTCATTTTTTCGTGGAGTTCCCCTTTAAAGGGGAAGTTAAGGCAAAAATCAAAATTTCACCAGTTGTAGTCTTCGGGGTGCGGAGTCGAATGGTCTTGGTCCGAGAAAGCTGAGACGCTCCCTTCCTACTTGAATCCCAATCGAACTCGCGCACTTCCACCGAAACTGGGTGACTGCGCCCTACGAGATGGGGATTTGTATGCAAAATGTCACTAAAAGCGCCATTTCGTTCTTATAAAAGCACGGATGACCGCGATTGGCCCATATGTTGTAGTCCTTTGGACGCTGAGTCGACTGGTTTCGGTCCGAAAAGGCTGCGATGCAGCGTTCGCCCCTAATTCCCAATCGAACATGGTTGAACAAGCGGTCACGTGCTCCTGCGTACACCAGTCACCTGGTCACCGTGCCTGCAGGGTACAACCAAGAGTAGATAAACAAGAGTGTGCAACTCCGGATCTCTCCTGCACAATCTGCAGATACCCCGCGCCCACGGCGGAATTTTTTGTTTACGTCACCTTTTTTCAGAGAAACGCGGCTTTGCCGCAGAGCAGTGTGAGAGCACGTGCTGGGCACCGACCTTGTAGTGTAAAGCCCAGCCAAGTGCACGAGGGAAAACTCTCCAAAAGGCTCGCAGCGCGTGCGTCGTCGAAAAGATTACGTCAACAAAAAATTCCGCCGTGGGCCAATCCATCCGGAGTTGCACACTCTTGTTTATCTACTCTTGGTACAACTTACAGCCTGTTTTGACCTTTTTTGGGTGCAGTCCTGTCACTCGAGTTGAACCTTGGTGTGAAAGTTGTCGCCTGCTGGCGTGGTGACCAGGTGATTTTGGCACCCAGGAGCACGTGACCGCTTGTTCAACCATGTTCGATTGGGAATAAAGGAGGAACGCTGCATCGCAGCCTTTTCGGACCAAAACCAGTCGACTCAGCGTCCAAAAGACTACAACATATGGGCCAATCGCGGTCATCCGTGCTTTTATAAGAACGAAATGGCGCTTTTAGTGACATTTTGCATACAAATCCCCATCTCGTAGGGCGCAGTCACCCAGTTTCGGTGGAAGTGCGCGAGTTCGATTGGGATTCAGGTAGGAAGGGAGCGTCTCAGCTTTCTCGGACCAAGACCATTCGACTCAGCACCCCGAAGACTACAACTGGTGAAATTTTGATTTTTGCCTTAACTTCCCCTTTAAGTAGGACATCACCAGGACTGGTAAACGTGGGAGGATCTGCCGACACAGTTCACCTGGTTCACACGCCTGACCTGGCATGCTGCCTTGCGTGAAAGGAACATTTTTCCGAAAGCAAGCTTCTTCTCCAAAATTCGAAATTTCTTTCCAAAAAATGCCGTCGTCCTTGACCTCGAAGCTGAATGTTGTTAGGATAGAAAATTAGCGAAGATGTAGCCAACCCATTCTGGCAAGCCGTGTGCCCTCTGGATATGCAGTTGTTCGCCATGGTCAACAATCTTCTTCTCCTTCCACGGTTCGTACTTTCACTTTCCTGACCACGAATACGAGCGGTACCCATGCTCAGGTTAGTGTTTATTTGTCTGTCTATGCACATACATGTAATACAATGTACTGTTCGTGCTGCAGGCACTGGCTGATCAAGGAAATAGAGGAAGCAGCCAGCTTTCTTTGAATTCTCGTGCTTTCAACAAAAATATGTACACACTTTCCTTGGCTCCTCTTTCCCACCGCCACCATGCATGCACAATCGAGCTTGCTTTAATGCCCTGCAGTGCAGAATGCTCCCACCACCGCAACTACCACCGCCGCCACCACTACCAGCAGCAGCAGCACCACCACCGCCACCACCACCTCCACCACCACCACCACACCACCACTGTGACCACCACCACACCGCCACCACTACCATCACCGTGACCACCACTATAGAAGCATTGCCGTGCACGGCACGTCTGCAAGAGAAAATAATGGTATGCCAGTGCTGTCCTGCAGTGCAGAATGCTCCCACCACCGCAACTACCACCGCCGCCACCACTACCAGCAGCAGCACCACCACCACCACCACCGCCACCACCACCGCCACCACCACCTCCACCACCACCACCACACCACCACCACCACCACACCACCACTGTGACCACCACCACCACCACACCGCCACCACTGCCATCACCGTGACCACCACTATAGAAGCATTGCCGTGCACGGCACGTCTGCAAGAGAAAATAATAGTATGCCAGTGCTGTAATGCCCTGCAGTGCAGTATGCTCCCGCCACCACCACCACCACTAACGTTATGGAAGCATTGTCACGCACTGTACATCGATCCACAAGAGAAAATAATGCCAGTGACTTACTAGCACCTCCATGCTGCATGCGGACCTGGACACAGCACTGTTCCCTCTGCAGGAAAGGGGCGGGGGGGGGGGGGGTGTATTTCAGTGTCCCTGCCTGAAGTAATAATGACTACATGACATGATATCCAGCTAACTTTGCCAGTAACGAACGACCCTTGATCGGGCATGAGAAAAGTGTTGGTATTTGGGAGTTGTCGTCATTCACGGGGTTGAAAATATACGGCTATATTGTTACTAGGTCTGAAGATAGTGTCACTATCCGTGCGTTGTTATACCCGTGGTTGACTGCAGATACGTTTGGATTATTCTATGAGTATATGAAGGGTATACGTTAAATATTTTCCTGAGGACATAGCACGAGGAAATTATGGGGAATGCAGTACATGTATAGAATGGTGCAATCCATTTCTCCCAGGGCACTTTCCCAAGACTCCTTCCAATATTCACTCTTGGCGCGACCCTTGTGAACTGAGCGGGGTGTATCGTTGAATATACCCCTCTCAGAACGTCTACTGATTGGCTGAAATCGCCCAATTCATACCGTTCCATGGATGTCAGGGAGTCGTAGCACCCAAGGAAACAACACGAGATCATGATACCCAAAATGATGTACTGTAAAAGCGGAAATTTTCAGTGGTGTTTTATTTTCGGTAACTTTGGTGCCGACAATTTTTACCGAAAAAATGCACCGAACTTTTTCGGTACTACTTAGTGGTACTAGCACCCTTACCTGGAAAGCGGGTATTACCGAAAATTTCCCTCCACCGAATCGCTGATTTTGGAGAATTCCGAAAATATTACACCACCGAAAATTTCTGCTTTTACAGTACACAGATTGGATCCATAGAGATTCTACATGATCTGTGGTTTATGCAACTCGTGATTGCGGACTTGACTCACTGGCCCCAAGCATGGGTCAGTCAAGCGATGCTATATGCGAGCATGTATGTATCGCACTTGCCCCTAAGGCAGTTAGGGCAACTGTCACTGGCAGCCCAGGGTTGAACCCACATTATTAATTTTTGAAATTTTCTAGGGTGACACGAAAAGCTTCATGCACTGGGTGGTCACTCTCTATT